AACAGGCGGTTCGCATCAGTCCAACGCCCGTTGACCTGACTACTCTCTCCTCATGGCTAAAAAGTGAAGAAATCAACGTGAATTTGGAGAGCAAACTTCTTCTCCGAGAAGCCGCTGTTATGGAGCCGGCCACCGCCCTCACCGCAAGCCAAAACTATCGCGGGGAGCGTGGTGGCGGCCGGCAGGGGAGCCGCGGCAGCTACGGCAGAAACAGCGGAGGACGCGGGCGCGACGGTCGACAGGGTAGTCGTCCGCCGTACGACGGTCATCAGCACGGCAGCAACAACAGCCTACACTCCTTCGGCAGCGGCGGGCAGTCATCTTCCAGCGGCGGGCAGGGCACCTACGAGCGGGATCATCCAACTTGTCAAATCTGTCAGAAAACAGGACACACCGCTGTTCGTTGCTGGTTTCGGTATGAGGAGAGCCCAAATAGTGATAACCGTGCCAATTATGCATCTCAAGCCGACCCTTCCTCTGAATGGCTGTTGGATACTAGGGCCAACATGCACGTTACTTCTTATCTATCCAAGCTTAACGCTCCAAATCCATATCATGGCTCCAATGGTATTACTGTTGGCAACGGTGAGTCCCTTCATATTTCTCACACTGGCACGGGTACCATTAAAACCCCCACCGCTATCTTTCACCTAGGTAACCTTACCCACGTCCCTGCTATTAAAATTAATCTCCTTTCAGTTCACCAATTCGCAAAAGACAATAATTGCTCACTCTTGTTCACCTCTAATGGTTTTCAGATCCTAGACAATACTACCAAGAGGGTGATTTTTCAGGGCCCCTGTGAGCATGGTCTGTACGTTCTTCCTGGCACAAGTTCGTCTGCCCACCAAGTTTCAGAAAGCATTCCTGTGGCTCCGGTGGCTCTTCGGCTGATGGCCACAGTCTGTTGTGGCACAGTCGTTTGGGTCACCCGTCTACTCAAATAATAAATTCTTTAATGTCTCAATTAGGTTTTTCTTCCATTCATGTAAACAATTGTGACTCCTGTTCAATTGCTAAATCTCATAAATTACCTTTTACTTTATCTGAGAAGCGTACAATTGCACCTTTTCAACTTAATCATTCTGACCTATGGGGTCCTACTGCTGTTCCTTCATTTGCTGGTTTTCGCTATTATATTTGTTTTGTGGATGATTTTACAAAATACACTTGGTTGTACCCACTAAAACACAAATCACAGGCATACACCACCTTTGTCACTTTTGAAAAAATGGTCAAAACACAATTCAATTCTCATGTTAAACTTTTTCGAAGTGACAATGGAAAGGAATATGTCAATAAAATCTTTGGCCAGTTTCTGCAATCCCTGGGAATTATACATCAAACCTCTTGTCCATACACTCCCGAACAGAATGGGGTGGCTGAGTGTAAGCATCACCATCTCATTGAAACGGTGGTTACTCTTCTACATCAATCTCATCTCCCTGTCTCCTTTTGGGTAGAAGCTCTAGCCACCGCAAACTACCTCATTAACAGAATGCCCAGTCACACTCTCTCCAATAAATCACCCTATCAACTCCTATACCAAGAACTTCCCAATTATACCAACCTCCGCGTCTTTGGGTGTCTTGCCTACCCTTGGCTACGCCCTCATATTACTCACAAATTACAACCCCGATCCCGTCCTTGTATTTTTTTGGGCTATCATCCTACCTCCAAGGGTTATCGCTGTCTTGACCCACAAACTCATAAAGTCTATATATCTCGTCATGTCAAATTTGTCGAAAATGAGTTTCCCTACGAGTCTATTTCCTCCTCCACAAATACATCATTCATTGGCGTCCTTCCCCTTTTCCAACATACTCACGGGGTCCCTCACCACCTTCCCCCACACCTCCAACCACTACCCAACCACCCCTCATCACCCCTTCGACCGTCACCCACAATACACCCGCAACCACCACCCACACTCACAACCAACCCGAACCACCCCATACCCACAACATCTCCAGCCTGATCCGTTTTAGGTCCTTCTCGGCCACCCCCGAATCACCACCGCCCGTGCCACCCCCCAATACTCATCCCATGTTAACTCATGGCAAAGCCGATATCTTTAAACCCAAAACCTTTCAGGCTACCATACTACCAAATATACCCCTTCCCAATAGTGAACCAACAACCTACTCTGTTGCCTCAAAAAATGCTTATTGGCGTCATGCTATGGATGACGAGTTTAAGTCTTTGACTGATCAGAAAACTTGGGTTCTTGTACCTAAGCCCCATGGGCGGCACCGGTGGGCTGTAAATAGGTGTACAAAATTAAACACAATGCAGATGACAGTATTTCCAGGTACAAGGCTCGTTTGGTTGCTAAAGGCTACAATCAGGAGTATGGACTTGATTACTCCGAGACATCCACTCCTGTTATTCGGCAGGAAACCATTCGCCTGGTACTGTCACTCGCTGTGCGCAACAATTGGGTCATCAATCATTTGGATGTTTCTAATGCTTTTCTTAATTGCATGCTTGATGAAACTATCTACATGACGCAACCACCGGGCTATGTTGATCCCCGCTTCCCTCAACATGTTTGCAAACTCCAGAAGTCTCTGTATGGGCTCAAGCAAGCCCCCCGTGCTTGGTACACACGTCTGAAAACGTTCCTCCAGGGACTCGGCTTCACGTGTTGCGTACACCACACGAGTCTGTTTACTCGACATTCAGCATAAGGTGCAGTCATTCTTCTTGTCTATGTAGATGATAGCATTATTACAGGCTCTACTGCAGCTCTGATTCAGGATGTCACTCGAGCTATGCATACTACCTTCAAAATGAAGGACCTTGGCCCGTTACATTATTTTCTGGGAATGGAGGTTTCTCGGACAGGCAGCGGCTTGTTTCTTCATCAGTCAAATATGCTCGAGATCTGTTGCAGAAAGCTGGACTGGAAAAATGCACCAGTCAACCAACACCGATGGCAGTCTCTTCGTCTACAAATGGAGCCGACACCCCCTTTGTCGATATCACCCACTTCCGCAGCCTCATTGGGGCTCTACAGTATCTGGCCATTACCCGTCCTGACATTCAGTTTGCTGTCAACCGAGTTGCTCAGCGCATGCATCAACCGAGTGAACATGATTACCATTGTCTAAAACTCATTCTCACGTACATTTTTGGCACTCTTGGTCGTGGTTTACTCATTCAACCCAAGGACTTGGAGCTTCGGGGTTTCTCAGATTCAGATTGGGCGAATGATAAAAATGACAAAAAATCTACATCGGGGTTTCTCATTTTTTGGGGGCCGAACCTGATCTCCTGGTGTACAAAAAAAAACCCAATGTCTCTCGATCCTCGACTGAAGCTGAATACCACGCCCTTGCTCTTCTTGTTGCTGAGACCATTTGGGTCACATATATTCTTCGCGAACTCCGCGCCACTAACACTGTTCCTGCTCTCTATTGTGACAACAAATCAACCATCTGTGTGGCCAAGAATTCCGTCCTACACACCAGAATGAAGCATGTTGATACCGATTGTCTCTTTGTTCGCGATGAAGTTCAGGCCGGCACCATGACTGTGCAGTATGTAGCCACTGAAGAACAACCGGCTGATATTCTCACCAAGCCTCTCCCGAGCCGACAACACGATTACCTCAGTTCCAAGCTTTCGTTCGCTTCCGCTCAGCTCAGCTTGAGGGGGATAATAACAGATAGTATTAAATAAATAGTATTAAATAATATTAGTATTTACTGTGTACTAATCCTAGTCCTATTAGGATTAGTACTCCTTAATCCTAGTCCTATTAGGATTAGTACTCCCCTATATCTCCTATATATATCTCCCATGTATTCCCTTATTAGGTTAACACTTCAATACAATCAATATTCCTCCACTCATATATAAAAGTAAATGCAACAAACAATCTTACAGTCCTAATTTCAATTCTGCTTAGATTCGAACTTCATAAACTCATTTATAAAAGTAATGCAACAAACAATCTTACAACCCTAATTCTAATTCTACTTAGCCTCGAACTTTATAAACTCATATATAAAAGTAAATGCAACAAACAATCTTAAGGCAAATAAAAATTGAAACCAAGAGACAAAAGGAAGAGAAAGCATGTGAAGAGAGAGACGATGAATTACCTTAAGAATGCAGGCAAAGAGTTGAATCCAAAATGTAGGGGTCGGTGAAAGCAAACATATATGCCACGCTACCTACCACGTGGAGCAAGATGGAGATAAAACTGTGGACTGAATTGACAAAATGCCCTCAATCAGTAATTTATTTACAAAGAAATAGACTGGTTGATACCCAAATTATAATCATGCTTCTAATATAGTTAAAATAATATTAAAATTAAAATTAAATATAAAAATTAAAACCCCACCACCTCAACTTTGTTTGCTTCTATTTTTTTAAATATGCCTATTATAATATTATTTATGCATTTTATATGCTTTTTTTATCAGTATTATGTATTGACGTCGAGTTTATTAGATTTTTGGTGATATATTACCTTTTTCTGTTTGCATTTTTTCAATATATACAAGTGGAAAAACAATTACTGCAATAACAATCCACATGCATAGTTGCGATTTCTGGATGCTTCAACATGGAAAACCTCAATGTGTAAATTAGTGCGGTTCAGGATAAATTTCGATTGATCCTCAATGTGAACGTCGGAATCATGGTTTTAAATTATTTTAGTAATGAACCTGGCATAAAAAATATTTTATTTTGTCATGCTAAATTTATTTAAATAATAAAATTTAGGTAAGTAATTTTATTGGTACAAATATCTAAGTTGAGTGATTTTATTGATACAAAACAAAGTTTAATGAATTAACTAGATAATTTCTTAAAATTGAGTAACATTTTTAGATATTAATTCGTGTAATTATCCCTGTCAATTACACTAATTACCTGTTGATCAATAATTACGCTTTAGTCAAACAGAACCGACAACATAATTGCGTCTAAATACAATAACAAGGTGGGTTTCCAAACACACTCATAATCGTCTAACCCAAAATTATTGATTGTTAATTATCTTTGTCAAAAACTAGTATTAAAAGTAATGAAAAAACATTAAAAAAAGAAGAAGGGTATTTGTGCAAATGGACCATATCCAGGTGTAGGGTCGGAATGACAGCAATAGAATTACATAGCCCTCCAGGCCCAGGCAAGCAAAAGATCAGAGAGTATATTTTTTTTTAATTACAGAAGAGAATAGAGAATCAAGAGTTAAGAGGGAGTAATTTTGAAAAGACAAGTAAGGAAATGATGGGGGATAGTGGCAACCTGCCAAGATTTATGTATTTTGCGGTGCCTTTGATGGTTCTGTGTTTATTGCACAAGGGTGAAGCAATATGGTTGAGTCTGCCGCCGACTGGTACCAAGTGCGTTTCCGAAGAACTCCATAATAACGTCGTCGTTTTGGCAGATTATGTTGTCATCTCCGACGATCATGTTCACCCTACCCCCACCATTTCCGCTAGGGTATGATGACTTTTTACTACTTTTGCTCTTAAATCTTATTTCCTTTTCCTTGATCCATCATAGAGATGGATCCAACATTTTTATGCTGGATATACATATATTTTGAAATTGACCTAGCTGTAAATAGTTATGGAATCCTCAATTGGTTATTTGAGATGAATGAATATTTTATTTTTTGAGAAAGGTATATAGAAGTATACTACATCAAAGTGTAGGTCCCTCCAAAAATTTATACTTCAGCCCTAATATCAATGAATATTTTAGATATGCTAAGCTTCAGGATTATAGGCTTATTATTAGTAAACTGGAAAAATATCTTGTTGCTTTCTACCACTAGAATGAGCTGGAATGATAGTTCTGCTGAATGATATGTTAAAACTTGCGAGCTTGAGTTTCTTATATTTGTTGGTGAATTTGGAGCTGATTGGGCTATTTATTGCCCAATTATTTTCTGGATATTGTATGAGAGTCAAGGTGCCAGCAAGATGTCTTTTTGCTGATTTTTAATTTTTGGACTTAGTATACCAAGCCAATTTTAGCTTGGTCGAAGTCTACAGATGATTATCTAATCACTATGATTGTTTTATTTTCCTTGCAAGCTGACAAATCCATCTGATGATTTATTCATTATTGTATACAAGTCTAGTTTCACATAATGCTGTATCTCTCTTTTTTCTTTTTATGTAGTCCTGATTTTGCATTGACTTGTATTTAGAAATGTTTCTCTTTTGAAACTGTGGGAGCTTGAGATTTCAATGGTCTAAACCAGTATGAGCTTAATTTTAGACTTCATATTGTTTGGTTGAGAGTGACGATAAAGCTTTATTTTCTCATTTTCTGAATTCATTTGTGCTCTAGGCAAATTTATTCACGAGGTACATTGTCTCTCTCTTCCCCTCCCCCCCTCATTTTCCTTTCCAGCACCAGAAGAGATCGTTTAAATTGCGTGATATGAACTAGCTAGCTCTTGGTGTGAAGCTTTAGGTTCCACATTTCTGATGCAATGCAAAAGCGTAAGGCCCACATTTCCCCCTTTTTCTTTATGAATGAAGCATTGCCACCTGGTACCACTATCGTTCTTTTCTTCAATTCCTCAGCAGTAAGAATGCTCTTCATGGGAGCTGAGTGCGTACACACAAAGAAGGAAAAAGGTGCAAAATGGAAATTCTTCTGGGCATTGTAGTAACAAAATATCAGTAGCTGAAAGTTCCTTTTACTCCTTTATGAAAAGGGCTTCGGCTTTCATGATTGACTCACCTGAGAATTACCTGTGCCTTTCTGTTCTACAAATCAAAGAATCATTCTGCACAACACCCCTTCTGACTGTAGAGTAGGATTAGAAGCTGTTGAATGTTCTCCAACCTCCAAATCGTTAAGGCTCTCCAGAGTTAAATATCCTTGTAAACAGAGTCCTTCTACATCAAACCAATTGTAACATTGAACTTCTTGTGCTCATATTTGGTTATCTTTATAATAGGATTTCAGTACTAAAAGGGTTATATGTTTCTACCTGATTCAACATGTGAAAATGGTGATTTCTTACTATTATTGTGGAAATTTTAACCTGACCAACAAAATATGCACATGTAGTCGAATATCTAAACACATTTAATATTATTCTCTAGCTACTAATGGTCTAGCGGAAATATAAATTTTCAGATGTTAGAGAAATAAAATGTGACTCAGGGTGCTTGAAGACAAAGGATTTATAATTTGGAAAAGGGTCAAATATACCCTTGTACTATTGGAAATACTTTATATATACCCTTCGTTATACTTTGGGGTCATATATACCCCTCCCGTAATACTTTGGTCCACATATATCCCTAACTTTGACAGATTGACACATGTCAGCTTAAAAATCAAATAACCCATTACAAATTTTAATTACCCAATTACGTTGAACCCACCCATTTTCTGCTGACCCACCTTCGTAGAAACTCATTTTTTGAAGTCATCTTCTCTACCTAAAATTTCCATTAAAATTAGGCATCAGCCTCCGTGAAAGCTCACTATGAAACTCAAGGAATATGAAACTCAAGGAAGAAGTGAAAAAAGCTAATACCACCCAGATTGAATCCTCGACTTTCGGCGACCAACACCAGCAAAAGCATCTCACAAGATAAAATGGAAAACTTTTCGTAACACAAATAATGCAAATACCTTCTAAGAAAAGTTGATATTGAAGCTTATAATATAAATTACAGTTGAAGGAGATGGTGTGGGAACTTCTATTTTTTTACTGAAATTACAGTTGAATGAGATGGTGTGAGAACTTCTATTTTTTTACTTATGCAGTCCTCCCTTGGTACTACTAGTCGTCTACTATTAATAAAATTACTTTATCCTAGTTAAAAGAAAATGAAAGCAATGGTTTCACTTCCTCCTCTACCCTGATTTTTATGGAGGCTTCACTCCCTCCTTTAGTTCCACAATGAGCTTTTGTGGCTGATTTTAATGGAGGTTTTAAATAAATGAAGATGACTTATGTAATTGGATTTGGTTGAAGGTGGGTCATCCGAAAAATGGGTTTTAAATGGGTCGTTTCAAAGAAATTGGGGATGGGTTATTTAATTTTCAGTCTATCATGTGTCATTATGTTAAAATTAGGGGTATGTTCCAAAGTATAACGGGAGGGGTATATATGGCCCCAAGGTATAAAGAAGGGTATATATAAATCATTTTCAATAGTATAGGGGTATATTTGACCCTTTACCGTTTATAATTTGTAAGATATCAAGCCTCAAATGAATGAGATCAGAAGGAAAGTATGGTACCTAAATACAAACTATTCAGATATCGAGTCTCAAATATAGGAGAATGTCATAGTGTATGAAAATGCAACATGCAACATTTAGTTGCAATGATGGAAATGAAGAAATGTTATGTGATAAGATACCTAACATAGTTAAAGGAAGTCTATAAATGGCTGTAAGACCAGCAGAGTCATATTGGACTGCATGTTAGGCCTCTAACGTTCAGCATATTCCTAACATGAATGTTATAAATATGCGGATGTAGATTTGTGTCATAGAAGATTTAGGTAATCTGGCAAGATTTAATTAGTCACATCTAAAAGAGTGTGCAAGAATTATACATGGAGGATAAAATAAGAGTAGGTCTTTAATCTTTATATTACTCTATATGCAATAGTCCGTCGGTGCAATATGAGTGAAGGTGTTGAAAGGATGAGGTAGAGTGGGTTATAAAGTCGTGTCAAAGGACATACATTTGCAATCAATCTTGATAGTTTATAATAGAGTAAATGAAAGAAAGAATCCAATTACATGATATCAATTAGTTGGGATTAAGGCCTGATTGTTGTTCTTTTGATATAGTAACAATTTTGTTGATAATGTCTGGGCAAAAAATTACCCATATACAAGAAGTACACCAAAAAATAGACAAAACCTAATGAAATATACCACCCAATCTTCCATACATAAAGATTCTCATGGGTGCACAAAATCAAATAAGGGATAAAAGGTTATTTTTGAATTGAGCAAGATTAATCTCTGCACTTATAAAAGCTCTCCTATTTCTTTCACCTAATATGACCCACATGAAGCGCTAGTGGAGTAGTATTCCAAACCCTGCATCTTCTCTTCCACCACCTATCACAATTATAATTGAGCATGAGATCCTTTACAGTTTCTAGTACCACCCAAGTCATTCCAAACAAACACAAAAATTCTCACGATAACCTCTAGGCTACCGGACAACGAAGGATTAGATTGTCAACATCTTCAGTCGAACGCTTATACATGAAGCACCAACTAATGCAAGTAACATTTGTCTTAGATTGTCGACCATCAATATCGCTCCTCTTGTAGCTAGCCAAGTGAAGAATCACATTTTTTCTCTATATCTTAGGTATCCAAATCAAACTATGCGGAAATGCGACCTCCTCCCTAATAGTGTTATCAAAAGCAAAAAGCGCAAAAGCTCTAAGGTCCATTGGGGCTTTAAGCCCAAATAAAGCACGAACTTTTATAAATAAAGCCCAAATGTATATGTTTAGTCCAAGAGTAATAATACATAACCATGAATGACAAATATATGAACAAATAAATTGAAAAATAATTACGATAAGGTGAAATATCAATTGTTTAGTGTTGCCACTTCATAAGAGGTTCGTTGGCAAGGAAAGTATGCCTTAGAACCTTGGTGACAACACTGAAGTGCACATTAAACGAGGCAAAGCGCACAACACACTTTGAGCCTACCATCAGGGCTTAACCGCGCCTTTGATAACATTGCTCCCTAACCAGAAGCTTCTCATACAATGATAAATAACTAACAATACCACACTATTCATTGGTTCCTCCTCTATACATCAGGGTTATACTCCCGAGTTCCTTTATTGTAAAACAACTCGATTAGGTTTGGAATTCTGCCACTTTTCTAGTCATGAAAGTTTGTAATAAACCTCAATCCATAACACCTCTCCTTGTATCATCCGGACACGTTGGAGTCTCATCTCCTTTTTGCATGACATTCTAAATTTGTTTGGAAATGCACGCCTTAATGTATGTCCTCACCCCACCTTTGCTCCCAAAAGTTTTATCTCCTCCCATCCCCTTATCTTGAAAGACACAAAACAATGTACTTCCCATCCTTTCAAAATATTCCTCCACAACCAGCATCTATGAGGCATACTAATATTTTTAGTCCTCCAAGCTCCTTCCAAGACCTCATATATTTCCATTATCATCTCCCTCCTTGAAGCATATTCCAAAATCTCCATAACCATTTGGCTGATAATGCCGTATTGAAAGCTCTGAAGTCTTTAGCCCAAGGCCACCACAATACATAGAAGTTGTAACAGTCTCCCACCACACCAAGTGAAGCTTCCTTGCCCTGTTTGCCGAATCCAATAGGAAGTTTCTTTGAAATCTTCTCAGTTCTTCTGTAACACTGACTGGAGCCAGACATGAAGTATGTGTGAATACTCAATAGTGTACTCTTAATAAGCACTTCGTTTCCTCCTTTGTATAAATATCTTTCTTCTAACTTACAAGTATTTTCTCAAACCTCTGAAGTACCAAATTCCTATGTTGTTTGGACTCTTAAAAAATTGCGACGGGTGCATGTCGGATTCTCCAAAAATAGTGTACTTTTGAAGAATCTAACACTGGTGCGGCATCAGTTTGGAGAGTCCGAGCAATATAGCCAAATTCCATGCAGCTCGATCTTTATTTGAAGCACCTAATGGAGAACCAAGGTATGCTCTGGAGAGAGTTCCAACGTTACAATTCAAAACGTGTGCATGAATCTCAATATCCTCCACATCTCTAACTTGTATGATCTCACCCTTTCTAATGTGGATCTTAGGGTCTGACACCACCTGAAACCATGTTTAATGCATATACCAAGTATCCAATTAAGTGATGAGTCCTATAAAAATCACAGAAACTAAAGTGTCATCTGCAAACACTAATTGCTTTTGGGAGAAAGTTTTGGTGTATAAAGACAGTACCGAGAGAGCTACAATTCTTTCCTACCCATCCTTGTATATTGCAAATAGTGACATCTAACGTTGAGGTTAGTTGAAACTTCATGATGGCAAGTTGGTAAATAACATTTTCAGTCCTTTGCAATATGGTGACACCAAAACCATTATGTTCTGCAGTAATTAAGTAGAATAGATGGTTATGTTGAGTGCTTTTTCTCCGCGTACTTTTTGCCATATATTTTGGAAGTACAGCTTTAAATGCTACGTTGTGATAATCGAGAAATTCCTTACAGTCGACTTGGTGCACAGTTCGAAACTATAGTCATTGGATTGGAGGGTGCAGGTGATGCCTTGTTGCTTGTAGTTAGCCTTGCCTGCTTAGTGTGGAAGTGCGTAAAGTAGGCTCATTCATTGGTTGATAAAGATCCTGTAGTAGCTGAAGGTTGTTTTCTTGCTATATCGTTATAAAAGTTTGATGCATACATTCTTTTCTGGATAATGCTGCCGCAGCCCCTATACCCTTCTCCACATAAATTCCAGGTTATTTTTTTGAGCGAGGTGCGAATTCCTGGCATGCACCTAACCCACACATAACGCTATAACTAGATCAAATCCCTAGGGGCAGCTTTGAAGGCATTTTAAAGTATTTTCAATTTGCTCGGTGTAATTTGTGTTACTGTTGAAATTCTATCATGTGTTTATTTTGCTTTACATCCATATCTGCATATCTACATTGCAGGATTAGTATTAATCTAGAGATATAGAATAAAAGGCTGGATATTGTATCTTTTTCGTAGTTATTGTTCACACAGTTTGTTAACAACTAAAGAAAAAAGTCAAAAACTCACTCGCACATGCTCATGAAAGTAGAGTAGGGTTCTGGAATTCTATGTAGTTTCAGGTGGTATTGATATTTATATAATGAATACTGAAGACCTTTCATGTAAACAAAAACTTTTGGTTAGCCACTAAATTTGAGGTAGTGTGTGTTTCCGTCTTGTCCCTTAAACCTCTCAGGGTTTGCCATGTTACAGAGATGGCAGTTTGCTTGTATATTGGTTTATATGGATAGATTTATGTCAACTGTTCAGACAGGCTTATCTGACTGCTTCGTTGCAATACCAAAAATCATGTCTTGTGTGTTACTATGCAGGTCACCTCGCCATATGGAAATACTCTTCATCATAAGGAGAACGTAACACACAGTCAGTTTGCCTTCACAACTACAGAGGCTGGCAACTACCTAGCATGTTTTTGGGCTGATAATCCAGGAGGTGGGAGTCTCAGTGTAAACATTGACTGGAAAAATGGAATTACTGCCAAGGATTGGGAATCAGTTGCCAGAAAAGAGAAGATAGAGGTGAGAAATTGAGTAGTTCAAAATGAGTACAGACCTGTTATCTTGGATCCAACCACATAGAGAGAGTAGTAGTCACTGCAAGAGCAAGACTACAGATTACGAAAATCTCTATTCATCCCATACTTTGAGATAAATAAATGACACTGATACATGTTGCTTGTTGGTAGCATGAAATGTCCTACTGCCAACAATATGGATGATAATGGACAGGTCATCTAGTGAGGCAACACCTATTTGAGTTGATGATAATCTTGGAATTAATCGAGAATATATGAAATTGAAAAGAATAGTAAAGATTGTTTCTAGATCTTCTCTTGCATTTCTCGTGATTCTAAGTTTTGAATGGCATGTCCTGTGGATATGTTGATCATGATAGATAGAAAGTTGCAATTGCGAATGAAGCATTTACTACTACTTTCTTTGCCAAACTCCTTTAGGTGTTTAAAGTTGGTAACAGTAAACATTTGGGTATTTGGGGGTTTAATCCTTTTTTTAGCGGCTAAGAGATAACAATCAGTGTAAGTTCAGTTACCTCCTTTAACTTTAATAGAAACTGAAGATATCAAGTTAAGATATCCAAGGGTGTGGCCTAACGGTTAATGAATTGGTTGAGAACTTTAAGGTATCTGATTCAAATCCCTTCAGAGACAAAAACCACTAGGTGATTTCTTCTCATCTATCTTAACCTTGGTGGATAGAGTTGAGTAGTACATGTTGTTATGGGAAGTGGCAGGTATCTTGTGAAATTAGTCGAGGTGCGCTCAAGCTAAGTCTGGACACCACAGTTATATTTAAAAAAAGATACAAGTTAAAAATTAATCTTACCTCTTAAAGAATTGAGTAAGATAAATTCCAAGTCAACACTCACAAATGTGTAAAGAAGAAAAACCTCTCAAATAATATTCATAATATTTGTATCCAAACTAAAAATAACAAAATTTATCGTTATATGTATAGGGCAATCCTATCCCAAATATGATGTGCTTTGAATTCTATTTTAATGGAAATAATAAATATTAAGGAAGCAAGGTCAAAAAGATTGTCACTCACCGTAAAGATATGATATCTGGGCCTAACTCCACCCCAAAACCTAGCTCATAAGGGGAAGATTGCCCAAGTCAATATAAGCAAACCACTATACCGTCCCAACCATTGTGGGACTTTTACCCACTCCAACATCCCCCTTCACGCCCAGGCCCGATTGGAGCGTGGACCGGGAGCCAAACGGGGATTGACCTGGCTCTGAGAACCATGAATATGACAGTTGGGCCTAACCCAACCGCAAAAGCTAGCTCATAAGGGGAGAATTGCCCTAGTCCATGTAAGCAAACCGCTTCTTCATTCTCCAACCAATGTGAGACTTTACCCACTTTAACACTTACGGAATGAGGAATAGTTTCCAAACTACTAACTATAACACAAGCCTAAAGTTGCATTAATATCAGCCCCTTTGAACATGAGATTTCAGCCTTATTTTGGGAATGAACTTCAGCCTTTTGGGCTTGATTTCTTCAGCATCTTTGGGTATGCGAATCAGGTTCACTTTGGCTCCTTGGGGTCTCCATGTGGCTGGTCCTTGGGCTCTCCTTTGAGGCCCAATCTTACTCCAAGGCTTGGACTTGAAACATGAAATATGTGTAGGCCTTAGCTGATTATTCTCCACAATTCTTGGACTTGTTCTTGGGCTTTTTCCACAATAGGTATCTTGTTGATTTCCCGTTAAAACCTGTCAATCTTACATGAAGGTGTGCCACCGTGGTAGCATCACGCCTCTTCTTGTGGGGGAAGACAAAATAATCACCTTATGACTTAATTCAAGAAAATCATCTATAGAAAATACTTCCAAGTTTTTGTTGAAATTGGTATATGTTTGGCATACTATAATGGATATTCCTGCCTACATATTTGCACACTGGGAAAGGATCATATATGATTCTTTTTTATTTTTTATTTTTTTTGTGCTCTTATAACTTGATATCCAGATGTATTCTCAAAATTCTATGATTTTTTCACACTTTCTACATATGGTAGGGTGTTGAGCTTGAGCTGAGAAAGCTTGAAGGAGCTGTGGAAGCCATTCATGAAAATTTGATTTACCTGAAGACCAGGTATATATATTAGCTTATGGAGGCAATAACTTTTATTTGTTTGCATTTATTCTTCATCTCTCAACTTTTTTTGCCCCTTCAGGGAATCAGAGATGCGGTCAGTGAGTGAAACGACAAATGCACGTGTAGCTTGGTTCAGTATCATGTCTTTGGGAGTCTGCATTTTGGCATCAGTTCTGCAAATATTGTACTTGAAGCAATATTTCCAAAAGAAAAAGCTAATTTAGGCCATCTTTAGGTGAAACTTTTTTCCTGGATAGCAGAAAGAACCTTAGACTACCATATTTTCACTCTTCTTTAACAATTCATTTTTTTTTTGGTTATATTAGTGGATCCAGCTTTCATCGTGTCATACGACAAAGATAAGATTTACTGTCCAGCTTTTTGTGTATACAAGGACTCAGACATAATGCAACATAACTTGGAGCCATTTGCTTTTATTATTGTTTATTGTTACTTATTAGTTGATAATGTTGTTGTACGTTCTCTGAAGCAGCAGCATTAATTTATCTCTGGACACCCTACCGATCAATTTGATATGATTGATCTTGGAAATAATTTCTCACCAAGAAACAAACATGGCCACAACTCTACATGGTTCATTCAAAATTACTTTCTAAAGTTGTGGCTTCTATTATTCAACTATAGTACTCAGGCAATCTGGGTTCGTGTACTGGATCTACAATCAAAATTCTACGACCATAAAATACTGACTCGAGTGGGCAACATCCTTGGAAAGCTACTTAAAATTGATGCATGTACTTCCTCTACAACTAGAGGTAAATATGTCTGCAGTGGTGGCGGAGTTAGAGACTATAAGAAGGGTGTGCAAAATTTAGAGAGTAACTAATAAAATATTTGAGCAAGTGGGTTAGCATCTATCGATGAAAGTCACGTGTCATAATTAAACACTAAAGGTGGAGATTTAAAATAACAATTAAATCTTTATTTTTAGTTTTTAATTATGACACATAACTTTATCCAAGTGTGTACTTGAGGAAATGAAGAGAACAAGTAATGGAGAGGATATTCATCTGCATCCATCTGACTAACCTAGTGACTGTACCATGATCGATGTCAATAATTTTTTTTCATGAGATTGTGATAAAAATATACTATAATTATATAAACTAAAATAATAGTTTAAAATGGACAGGTCAAGATTTTCAGAGAACACACATGACACATTAAAAAAAAAATTAATTTAGTGCTATTTCTTAATTTTAATGGATATAGTTTTGACAGAAAATGAAGGAGAATTCTAATTAAAAAATTCAAATCTTTATTAGTTTTTTGAATTTACTTAAAATTATGCAAGAAGTTAACTCCTTATTAACTCTTTTGCATCCAAATATAACTCTTATAATAACTTGTTTTTGAAGGGAATGGTATATATTTAATTGCATCTAATCTTTTCTTCTAATTATTTTGGTAGAAACTTGTTAGTAACATTATTAATATCTAATACAAAGAAATATATCTAATTGAAGCTTCGATTATGTTCAATAGTAATTAATTAGTAGTTATAAGTCCTAAAGAACAAAGTCAAATTCCCCAACCTCAATGTGACTTATGGCATGCTTTTTACCGCTACGCCAAACAAACTGATTATGTCAATGGTGTGCAAACATAGGTATATGTGTATATTCTATAAATTTTGATTTATATATTTAATTTTTTAATGAAGGGTGTTCACTTGCACATCCTTCCTGATCAGATGTACTTCCGCTTCTATATCAAGATACTTTTAGAGCAGTTCCTTAAGCCTCACATTTAAATCAGGAATCACCGACAAAATATACTCTACAAAGGATGAAACATCTTATGTACTTGCTATAGACGGTTAGGACACACAAAACTTACTTGTGCATACACCAAAATGCCTTCACCAACGCTACACGATCTGATTATGAACATTCCAACAATTTCAGCAGATTTGACAATACATGAGTTACCTTCTTTTACAAAAATGATACATATAAAAAAATTAGTTTTGCGAAAAGAAACACCTATCGCAATTGAAGCAAATTAACCGCCACCAATGAATCGCCTTTTGGAGGAACAACCAATACCCACAAGTACAACTCCTAACCTTAATCGACTAAAAGACAACTTAAAAATGAAACGTTTTTTTTCTTTCTGAATTTCAGTACTTTTAATCATGTACAAGAAATTGATACTGATACCCCCTCTAATTTCAATGATTTTTCTTCCAACACCACTCAGAAATTCATCTTTACATATGATTCTTCTTACTACAAAGAGCCCATCTAAAACTAAAGTATTCATCTTTACAAATACATGATTCCTTTCAACCACCAACCTCCACAGACTCATCTTAATTCCCGATACTCCACTAGAAGTCATATTCAACCACTAGAAGATCCCATCCCTGCCATTTCATAACAAGTGGTAGCGGTGTTAGAGAGATATTGCAAAAATAAATTAGTTAGCTATTTTTAGTATTTTAAAATTATGTTATTAGAATTCTATTTGACTTATATTTAGGAGTTAATTCTTTAAGTTGTTATTTGAATTTTACTGATAATTTATATTTTTAAATAGAAATTATATCTACAAATGTAACTCTTTGCATTATTAATAAAATAATTCCCTTTGACAATTCTACAATTTTTTTCTTCTCAGAGTCTTTCTATGTTATTTTTTTAATTTCTTTGTAAAAGAACAACAATTGGTATCTAGAGCCTTCTTCTTGAGAGACTTGTTGAGTAGGATAATGTATTTCGAAAATAGTATTTGACGAATGGCTTCTCCTATTTTTGATGGTGAGAACTATCAACTATGGGCTATGAGAATGGAAACTTACTTGCAGACTCTTGATCTTTGGAAAGCAGTGGAAGAGGATTATGAAATTAATCCGCTGCCAAATAATTCTACCGTAGCCCAAATCAAGAGTCACGAGAAAAAGAAAACCATTAAGTCGAATGGAAACACAACTTTGTTTGTTGTTGTTTCGACAACTATTTTCACGAAAATCATAACTCTCACATCACTTAAAGATATTTGGAATTATCTGAAGAAATAATATGCTAGAGGTAAAAGAATAATAGGAATGGAAGTATTAAATTTAATGAGGATATTCAAATAAGAATTAGAAACAGTCAAGGAATACTCTGACAGATTGCTTGGTATTGTCAACAAGATAAGATTACTAGGCACTGAATTTAAAGATACAAGAATTGTTGAAATATTTCTTTTTTATAGTGCCCAAAAGATATGAAACATGTGTTACAACTTTGGAAAACATACAAGTTCTGTCCAAAATTACTTTGGCAAAATTGTTTAATTCTTTGCAGGCACAGGAACAAAGGAGGCTTATGAGGCAAGATGACATAATTGAAGAAGCCAACCACAAAACTCAAAGCAAGGGTAATTTTTTGAAGAACTAACCACCTGGTAAGCATTGTGGCAAAAAAGGAGATCCTCCATATAAATGTTGGAAGAGAAGAACTGCAAACAACTTGTCATGAAGTTGTGATTTGCAAAAGCAAATTTCAAAAAGATGAAACAGTTGCCTAAGTCACTACTAAAGAAGAAGATCACTTATTTGTGGCAACTTGTTTTTCAACCAAAAAATTTGGTTTTGGATGATTGATATGTTGTAAATAAACTCGTAACAGAAATAATATTTGCGGTAATAAAAGTAAAACGCAACAATACAGTTAATAAACGAGAATAAAAGAGAAATAATGACACCAAGATTCTACGTGAAAATTGATATACCATGGTTTCACGGTATTATTAATATTTTTTTCTTAAGTTTAGTGTGTCCAAAAGCATTTTTGTGCTAATGTTTATATAAGTTTCTCTTTATTTTGCAGGAAATCTGTCCAAAGATGAATGCGGAGATTTTGAGCGAAAAAATGCAGAAGAGACCACCTACGGAGCTTGTGACGGTCCGTCGTGCTTGTGACGGTCCGTAGGTGGCAGCGTAGTGCAGCTGCTGAAGGAAGATGGGGAAGTCTGACCAAGTGTGGGGTTACGAAGCTTGTGACAGTCCGTCCTGCAGGTTCGTCATGAAGTTCAGAGAAGTAATCCCAGTACCCATATTCCAAGAGTTGAAGTGTTTTGGAACGAAGACCCTCGATGGACCGTTGTGCCTATAACGGTCCGTCATACTTGTCGTCGAGGGTAATGAAGAGAGAAGCAGAAGAAACTGCATAAGTATGGGACGACGGAGTCCATGACGGTCCATCGTGACCATGACGATCCGTCGCGAGGTCCATTGACCCAACCGCGTTTTCGCAGATTTCCAGCAAATAGAGTCCTTGTTTAATTAGGTTTTTATTTTCTATAAATAGTTCAAAAAACCTCATTTTTGAGGTTAGACTCGGGACCATTGTTAGACAACGTATTGTTAGACATCATATTAGTAGACACTGTATTGTTAGACTTTTGAGAATCATTAGACTTTTTGTGAGATTGTTGATTATTTTGAGATTCTTGCAAGTGATTATTGGTGATAAATCAAACAAACTTTCGGATTTTACTCTTTCTCATTGAAGTAAGTACATGAATTCTTATTTAATATATTTGAATATTGTGATTATGACTATGAGTAACTAAACTCCATAACTAGGGTTGTGAGATCCATAGGCAAATAATGAGATAAAACCTAACTAAAATAACGATTCTAGAATTGTGTCTTGCTTGTATTAATAATTCTTTCGCTTAGAAGTCTTTTTAACGGATGACCAGCGTTAGAACTCGCATTAATGCTACTTGCCGGACCAAGGAGGTAGATAATAGGAAAAGAATTATCAACATAGATTTAGTATATACTATCTAATAGGCTAGTATTGATTGGTACAAGGTAATAACTTAGTCAAATATCGAATACGATGCTTAATATGAGGTAAAGATAAGGGTTAGGAGAGAAACACACGTAGCCGGACCAAGGTGCGGAGTGAGATTTTCTAGATGCCGGACCAAGGATTTAGAAATACATAACTTATCACTTTGCATGCAAGATACTAGGAAAAAATTGTTATAGTTAGAATTATGAAGTTATGAACCTGTGGGGAACACGTAAACCCTAGTTACTTTGATTAATTGATTAAAATTCAACATTCAAAGATGTTAAGTGTCTCTTTCAACTTAGGTAGTTATTTTCATTCATTTAGAAATAAAAACCCCCTTTTATTGTTTTTACTTTCCAAGGAAGTAATTGACTGAACAAAAGTAATAAAAGATTAAAGTTAAGTCTAGACTATTTTCCTCGTGGGAACGATCCCAACCTCACTAGTTGGGTTATTTACTTGACACAACCGCTTTACTTCTTATTTGAGAAGTAAGTTTGAGCGTATCAAATTTTGGCGCCGCTGCCGGGGATTATAACTTTTAGATTAAATTGAACTTATTACTATAGTTTAGTTGATATTTTCTTGATTTTACTTTGTTTTATTGTTTTTGATTTTTTAAG